ATCTCTATTTTTAAACTTTATTAATTTCTTACAATATTTGACTTTTATAGAATATTTTACATATTTTTCTATTTTTATTTTATATTATATATTGTATACACATATATGTATGTGTGTATGTTTATATTTGTTTGCATATGATACTAATTAATCCATTTTCTGACTCCAAATAAAGAGTTATTTTTTATCCCTCATATGTTCAAAATACAATGTCAAAATGCTTGAATTATCATACCAAGTGTTGGATTTGTAACGGATTGTCCTGACATCATGTAATATGGGAACATTGCCGCGACACTTTGCCAAGCATATGCTTCCTGAAGCCATTCTTCCAGCTTTTTAAAATATCGCGATCTCTCCTCCGCCGGATCTGATTTACTTTCGGAATCGCGCCCCGGCGTATCATCGTTTTTGTCGTCTGCCATTTTGACTTGTCGCTTTGCTTGCGTAAGAAAACAAGTCTATTTGTCACTTAACAAAGTCGTGGGAGCTGTGAATATTTTGCTTCAAAATTTTCTCTTTTTTCGTTTGGCACGATAACAAGACGATGACAATTATTAGATAGTGATTGTCACTTAATTGATTACTTTTACTAGGATTAATTGACAAATACGAATGTAAAGTACACCGAAAAAAATAAACACACTTGATAACGCTATTTGATTATGGCTTATTATAAATTACTTTCGATACCTCCGTCGCAATCACTCATATATGAACACGTTAGCTATTGCTATTCATCACTGACGTGTATGATATCAAATGGATATAATACAAAGCTTTTTACAGTCAGGATAGTTCAGTGAGTTTCCGTCACGACAACTTTTCCCCTAGACATCGATCATGGGGAAAATTTTGGGCAAACGTCTAAAGTGCACTTCTTATCCGAGAATATTATTAATAAAAATTTATCAAAATTCAGAATATTTTCAGTTTTTGAAAGCTGCATATCTTGAAAAGTAGTTTTTTACTGCATACATATAATAGTTTCGTTGATTATTAAATAATTTAAGATATTCTCCAAATGTCTGTTACATGTAGAAAATTCTAGATTATTAATTATTACCAACTGTTGTTAAAAGTATAACAGGCCGATTAAAATTTGCGTTTCTAAAAATAAACAAAGAGTGCTACAATAAAAAGATTTGAAATATTCTTATAGGTCTTAAAGAAAAATCTTTTATCTTTGGTATTTATCTTTACTACTTCTTATAATTTATTTCTAAAAGAATTATAAAAGAAATGATTCGTTGAAAATCAATTTCTGGTAGTTCAATATTACTAAAAACATAAAGCAGATGAAAATTTGTCCAAAATAAATTTAAGGACATTTATAATCATTTTTTTTTATTTAAGATTAAATCAGAGATGGCTTTAAGATCCCACTTACAGACAACAAAGTACAATGTTTTGTACACTTTCTAATATATAAATGTTAATTAAATACAAAAAAATTATTGTAAAAAAATGATACAATTTAATGAAACAATTCAATAAAAAAACACAACACAAAGATATAATTTAAATTATTTATCTAAAGTTTAAGCAATAGAATTTAGAGTATTTAGGATATTTCTTCCTACCTATATTTTCTACACTTTTTCATATTTTTTGCTCTTAAATTTTTATCTCAAACATATTTTATCATATACTTTAATTTAAATTGAAATATAAAATAAAAAGAACGAACCTTATATTCGGCTAGTGACTTTCTCTTCGTGCATTTATTATACTGAACAAGTTGAAATCATCTTTTCGAAACAGAGATAAAAATACAGACAAACCAGAAATAAAATCATCCGATTTGTCCAAACATTTCTAATGTTTCACAATCTCTTTTTCCCACTCGAATATCGAAGTCGTCTTCATTTAAAACTTCGGACAAATTCGAGCTACCTGCTCGGGATTCGGATCGTGTTCACAGAGAATAGGGACTTTCCTCTGTATCGAGGCAAACTCAGGAGGCACTGGTTTCTGGTCGCGCGACGTGCTCGCAGCTCCGGTTCAGTAATCACGGTGGGTCGCGGTGCGTTTCCGACTGATGAGCATTCGGGCAGATCAACGATCGTCCTCTTTGTGCGCGAGACTCCCCGCGATAAGTACCTAACGACAAGTAGTAGCCGCCGTCGTGTTGCACGCGTGAGTGCTGGGGGTGAGTCGCCGGGGTGGTCGCGTGGGAGCGTCGCGCCGTCGCGACGCGTCGCGCCGCGGCGACAGTGACAGCTCCGGTGGAGCACCTGAGAAGAGAGGGTGTGGGCCCGCGACGCGGACGATCACAGCGGGACCTTAGGTAAGGTCGAACAGAACGAACGTGGACGACACACCTTGCCGGGGAGGCCTCGGAGGCGCGATCCCCGGACGAGGATTCCCCTTAAGACTCGCCGCGATTTTTCCCGCTACCGCGAAATCGACCGTTATTATTCATCATCTCGTAACAAGCAATTTCTCTCATCCTCGCGAAGGAAACATAACGCTCGCTTCAATGCCGTGCCGCGAACGCGTGGAAGAGCCGTCTGGCTTCGCCTGAAATTTTTCATTTTCCGCTGTGCACTTTCGAAATTGACGGGGACGGTTGCCCCGAAAGAAGGATTCCGATTCCGTTCCGATTCTACGCGCGAGAAAGGAACCAGGAGCGAGATCGCTTCCCTCCCGCTCTTCCCTCGAGTCATCTCAACGGAACGCCAGCCAACCGGAATTCCGGAAATTCCACCGGTTCCGAAAAATCAAAGTGACTTGCACGCACGCGATACGTATGTGCTCGCTCGTAAACAGACTGCCTTAACTCTGAAACAATACTCCTCTTTCTCCACACTTGTTTACAATCGTAAGTCTCGAGCATATATATCTAAAAAATAGCGATAAGGTGAGTGATAAAGCGTCGAGTTGATTTTTGAAAATATTACAGATATAAACGCGGAAATGCTTAAAAAATGCTGACTTTTGAAAAGAGAAATTAGTGTTGAAAATTAGAAAAATCATTTTTTTCGAATATTTAAATATATTTCATTTAATCGTAGAAATTTGATGTTTGTTTTATCTTAAAGTTTATGGGCGAATTTACGTTGCACAATGTATATGGAAAAAAAAAACAATAACGAATTTAAAATAAAGGACTCCATATTGCATTCTGTATGGTTGATCGGTTTCTATCCTTTAACGCGATTATGGAAATAATCCGATTCGATGGGGTTTTATTGCAAAAATTGTAACAAAAAATGTTTGAATCGATAGCAATTATTTATATATTCGATATAAGCAAATTTGTAAAAAGAAAAATAAAAAGTGAAGTTTCCCGAATGCACGAACGTGTATATATTACGAATTTTAAAATCTCGTTGCCAGTCAAAAAATATTGAAAATATAAGTGGTAAACGATCAAAAGATATTTTACAATAAAAGATTTTGTTTATTCCATGATTTGGAGATTCTACATGTGCGCGTAACAAATTATGCGAAAATATACCGAGAAATAATTCCATCTGCCATCCCACACAACACACGTAGTATGTTCCGAAGGTTGCTCATATCATTAATTATTATGATTCCTTGCTGAATACTTGTAACTGTTTTTCTTGCTTTCTATTTTTATCTTTGCTTGCTAATTATATAACATTAATTGTTCCCATGTCGTTTGTAATTTATATTTTATACAACTACATTGAATAACTAAATATCTAATTAAATTTTAATTGCGAGAATTTCCTCGCAAAAGTTGCGTCATAATTATTTTAATTTATATCTATTTTATTTGATTCAACTGTCTTTTTAATTACTTATTCGCGTTATTAACGTTAATTTTTTTATTTATTTATCTATAGACTCAATATATTTGGTTTTTGTTATAGCATAATCGTAAATTGCGATGTAACATCGAACATACGTGCTTTGGCTTTACTACCGTTATTAAGAATTTTATTATCATCGTACTCCGTAATGCTTGTAAAAAGAGAAGATGAACGCATTTTGTTTACGGCAAGGAATTTACGCAAGGCGTACACTCGTACGCTCCCAAAAATATTTATCTATAAAAGCCATCGGCAGCGAGCGACGCGGCACGATTATCGTTATCAATGCGAGCGAATCCTCTCTTCCTCTCGGCAGGAGAACGTGATAACGAGCAGGGGGAGTAGTACGGGGTGTACGTTTACCCCCATTATCGGGCGAGACATCATCAATGTTGTATCCGCAATCGTGTGGTTTCTGACCCGACGAAAATCGAAAATCGAACGCACGGCCGACAGGTCGGCCGGTCTCTATCGCGCGGATCGATATGCCCGCCGTTTCACCGTCGCTTTTCCGCGCGACGTTAATTGCAATTCCGCCGACTGCTATCGAAGATAGCATCAATGCGTTCTCCTCCACAGAATCAGAGTGATAGCCGCCCGCGCGATTCAGCCGCCAGCCGCTATCGAAACGGAACGGGCGGACGCTAAAGTAAAAAGATCCGGGCTGACGTTGACAAATGTCGCCGTGATAAGCCCCCTTCTTTTTCGGAGACGCACAAGAATGCAATAGATGCACTCCTGGGAATTACAACTTTTGCCTTTTGCGTCCTCTCGACTGACTTAAACGTCTCTCTTTTAACCTCTCGTTCTCTTTTAGCTTGATGAAAAAGCAAACGGATCTGATCGAATGATCGATGAAAATCAAACGTCATTATGCATCATTAAATTCAATGTGCGACGTGCTATATTGAATCTAAGAAATGTTAAGATGACTGCAACATCATTCCGTGAAAAAAGCGTCATGAGAATTACGGTCTTATCACAGAGTGATATCTCGTCATTATATAAGTTATTATATAAAACTCATTGCTATGCTCATGAGCAAAGTAATAAAAATTCTGATGTGTTGGCTCGTAAATTATCCAATTTTTTTTTTCAATCTTAATCGTTTACACGGTTTTGATATTTTTTTCAGTTTTACTACTACTTATTCTATTATATTTATTGTGCTATTCTATCTATTATATTTCCCTCTTCTGTTTCTTATATTTGTTTAATTATAAGAGAAATATAAGAATGCAACGATCATATTTGAAGTGATGACGAATACATCTTGTATGCAAGCACCAAATATAAATGTGAATCGTGCTTTTCTTTTTGCCATTTACTATCACAAATTGCGTCACAGCGTGTTTGATGTTATCACCGATCAAAGCCGGATTGCCAAAGACGCAGCGATTAAATGAAGCATTTAATGCGATTTGTACAATACATAAACATGATGCGCGTCAAGCCAATTACCCATCGATTTTATACTATTCAATAAATGCATTTGTTATCCATTATGAATGAAGATGCAACAGTTTGT